ATACTTCAGTCTCTCACACTGAGTCACCCTGATCAATAATGTAGAGGGCTGTCAGAGGGCAGAGCGATGGACCTTACAGAAAAACTCCTGGGCTACTGGGGCACGCCAGAGACCAGGAGCTGGGCTCTGCCACTCCTCGACCCACAGGCTCCTGCCTCGGGAAGGAGAGAGAGAGAGATCGGAGCATGGACCAGCGGTGAGCACCAACGAGAGGGGAGGGAGGGCAGGGAAGACCAGCTTAGACAAACAGACCCACCTCGGTCTATCTCCCAGGACCCCTCCTTTGAGAGCAGGGAAAGGTGCTTGCTTCAACTCCAGGGAGAACGACGTCCCCATGGGTGGTGGGTTCTAGAACAGAGGAAGAAGGGGAGAAAGATGGGGTAGGATTACACGGAGCTGCTAGAGAAATAGCCACGGTGGGAGAGAATCCACAGCCTCCCCAGCAATCCATAGCAAATCTAAGTGGGAAGAAGGGAGCAAGACTCAGAAAGAGAATAAATCCCAGAAAGAAGAGCCGCGAAGTTAGGGTTGCATGGTGGAGGGTGGTGGGAAGAGGACAATGAGGACCCGAGAATGAGAGAGAGGCCAGGAGGGAAGAGAAAGGAGGAACCGGAAGGATGAGCTGACCACAGGATCCTGTGAGAAGTGTAAGAACAGAAGAATAGAAACAGAGCGACCAAGGAGACAGGGGCTGGGTGGGGAGAAGAGAAGGAAAGCAAAAGGTGGAGACCTCGAAGGGCAGTTCTGTGCCTTCTGTGCCGACAAAGGCAGAAAGTGAGGGGGGGGGGGTGCTTCGCCAAAAGGGCCGAGGGAGCCAGCGGCCTCCAGGACCCAAGATCTTAACGCCAAGGGGCGTGTCAGAGGGAGGAATATCTAATCCCAGGTCTGCCAAAAAGTTCCCTGTGGGGTTCCCAACTGCTTAGGGGAGAGAGAGGAGCAGGGCAGGGCGATGCTAATGTATGGACCAGGGGTGCCAGGCTGCAAGGGCGTGAGGAGACAGCTCAGCGAAGCTCTCTGGAGGCAGCCGCCATCCCTCCCGGGACCCCCTGAGAAAATCACACACACACACACACACACACACACACACACACACCCCTCACCGGTTGGACCAACCTAGCGCCAAAGCGCCTGGGACCTTTGATGAAGGCACCCGGGCCGTTTCACAGCCCGTTTCACAGCTCGTCCGTCAGCATCACAGGCGGCTGGCGCCCCTGCCAGCCAATGAACCAGGAGCAGCAGCCGGGAAGTTCAATCCAAGACCCCTCACCCCATCAGAGAGCCCCTCCCTGGTGACAGTTTATGGATGCACCAGCCACCCATCACCCCTCCTTAGGAAACTTCTTAATTAGGCCTCAGACCCGACAGAAACACGGTGTCCTTTTGTCAACAGAGCTCCCAGTGGTCCGACACCTCCGACTGCAAAAAGCTTCCCAGCAAACGGGGTGAAAGTTTAAGAGGGAATAAGCGTGTAATAGTTCCTCGCCAGACCTCACACATACCGAAGAGAATATTTACAGCAAACTTGCCAAAGTAAACGACCCCGCCTCCCTCCCATCCCGGTCCCCCCCTCTCTCCCCCACCATCATATATGTGTGTGTGTGTGTGTGTGCGTGTGCGTGTGTGTGTGTGTGTGTCAGATGTACACTCCTTGGGTCACAAAAGGGTCTTGGTTTGCCCCTTTTCCAAGAGAGGCAAGACGGCGCCTTTGGGCACGGCTAAGAATTCCATCAAAGCCAGACCCTCTACCCTCGGCTTCTGGGGAAGGATCTAGGTTCATGTGCGCACGGGCGTCCAGCGCAGGGATTTTATTCTGAAACCCAGCTTCATCATCTGCAGGCCGTAGACAGGCAGACATTCTGGACAGGAAGAGATTTGGTTTTGTTGGAAATTCTTCCAGTTCCAGTTCCCTCAGCGCTGGGACTTCCTCTCCCCACCCAATCTTCAAGCCCCTTTCTGGGTCCCTGAGCGCTGATGGCAGCTGGGCGGCTCAACTCCCTGGGGGCTCAGAGCTCCCCGGGGGTGCTCACCGCCAGGCCTGGCACAGGGCAGCCTGCGCCCGCTGGCCAATGTTTAACCCGAATGCAGTGGCCACCAGGCCGCGTCTGTTTGTTCATAAATTAATCACCCAGCGCACGGTCGGCGCCAGAGTGGGTTTATCACCCACCGGGAGGGGGGCGCGGCGCCCCGCAGAGACAAAAAAGACTTGACACCTTGGTGCGTTTGATCCCCTGGGACCGCGGGCCCCGTCTGGGAGGTCATCCATAATTGGCGGAAGTTTGCAGACCATTAGCGAGATGTCGACGTTTTCGGTTTAGAACAGCCGCCCCCGCAAACTCTCCTCTCCGGCGGCCCCCACCCCAAATCCCGGCCTGAGTGGGACAGGGGCATGGTAACTGGCATGACCCCGGGGTTAAGTTAGGGCAAAAGCAAACACAAAAACAATCCAGGGAGAGGTCCGGGTGAGGGGCAGGAAGGCCAGGGGATAGATAAATAAATATGTGTGCAATTTTATTTAAATACTGAAAATCAGCCAGTTCCCCATCCCACATCCCAGACAGAAAGGGAGGGCCAGAGGGTCGATGTTCCGGGGCGCGTGTGGACACCGGGGGCGCGAGGCGGCGGGGACGGCGGGGCGAGGGGTGGGGGGGGGCGTCCCGGGGTGCTGGAGGCATCTCCTTCCTTCTGAGCGCGGCCTGCAAGCGCCGCAGGCTGACGGCCGCCCCCGAGCGCGCACGGAGGCCGCCGAGGGCCCGGGAACCGAGAAATCCTGGCGGGAAGTCGGGGGTCGCGTAAGGGGAGGTCTGGCCTCGCGCCCCCTTCGGGACGCGGCCGCCGGCGAGGAGGGAGAGGGCGTGGGGAGCCACCCCCTGGCCGCCCCTTTTCTTTCTCCCGCACAGAAAAGGGCGGAGGGAGCGAAGCGCTGCCCGAGAAAGACCTGGAGTCGGCCGGCCTGCGGGAGCGCGCAGGCCGCTGCCGTCGCCACGGCCCCCAGGGGCGGGGGTGGGCTGGGCTGGGGGGCTCGGCGCTGGCGCCAACGGGCCCCACCATGTGCGTCAGAGAGGCGAGGCGCGAGGGGCGGGTGCCCCCAAGATTCCGCCCCATCTCGGCTCGGTGGGCGAGTGGGCGCGTAAGTGCGGCCAGCGACCACGTTCGCGGAGGTCTCGTTGAGGAATCGGGGGGGGGGGGGCTTGGGGAGGAGGGAGAGGGGGTCGAGGGGCCCGCAAGGACACTGGAAAGATTTCGTTCCTGAACCCCTTCGACCCTGACCTTTGGCCCCGTTTTTTTCATTCCCTTCTAGACTCAGGAGAGGTGAAAGTACAGCACCCCCCACCCTCCCCATGACCCTCCGGCTAGGCCAGGGCGCCCCAACGCATCCTCGCAGCCCCCCGAAGCTAAAATCGTGCGTCTCGGAGACCCTCCAGCCTTAGCAGGGTCGGCGGGGACCGTGCCCAAGGCGGGCCCCGATCGAGCAGTGGGGACCGGGCGAACCTTCCCGGAGAGCCCAAGGCCCCCGAAGGCGGTCAAGTCACCTCGCCTCGGGGCTGGAGGGCGGGGGGCGGGGGGCGTTTCACGGTTTGTTTTACAAACACGTCCCCCTACGCCCTCCACCTCCCCCCGCCCGCCTCGGCCCCAACTTCTGGGCAGATAAGTCCCCGGGGCGGAGAAAGAACCAAGGCTCCGACAGATAAAGGGCGCCTCCCCCTGCGCGCCCCCAGGCCCAACTCGCCCAAGCCCCGACCCCCGCGGGCGGGCGCGGAGAGGAGCCCTCAGGCCCGGGACCCCGCGCTCGCGGACGCGCCCCCACGCTGTCGGGGCGACCCAGGTGGGGCAGGGCAGGGGTCGGCGCGCGGGTGTTGGTGGTGGGGTCCGAGTGCGGGCGCGTGTTCGCCAAGAGACGTGCCGGCGGGGCCGGTGGGGTCTTGGCACGCCGCCGTGTCGGGTGGGACGGGGTGCAAAGGGGTAGGGGTGATCCCAAACAACGCCCCCCCAACGCACACACGCACACAGCCTCCCCCGCGCGTGTACTGCCATCCCCCCCGTGTGCCCCGGCGCCCGCGAGCCCAGCCAGCCGCGAGAGACGCCCGAGCTCGGGACCCGGCAGCGGCGGCCGGGCGGAGCCCGGTGCCTCCACGTGGGGCTGCGGAGCGCGCCAGCCCGGAGTCTTGGGTGGCGCCCAGAGGCCGAGGGGCCGCTCGCCGGAGCCGCTGCCGTCAGCCCGGCTCTCACCCGGGGGTTAAAAAAAAAGTGGGGGGGGGTGGGGAGAGCGAGCGGGGGGGAGGAGGAGGAGGAGGAGGAGGAGGAGGAGGAGGAGGAGGAGGAGGAGGAGGAGGAGGTGGAGGAGGAGGAGACGCAGCCCCGGGGAGGCGAGCGGGGCTGCGCGCGCGAGCCGAGCGCCCCAGCCCGGCGCCGGCCGAGCTCTCCGCCCGCCTCCTCCCCCTTCCTCCCCGCGCCGCCCGGCCTCCTCCTCCCGCCGATCGCGGGCCGGGGTGACTGAGGCATTTCAGACGCGGGGCTGCGCCCGAGCGAGCCGGGCTCCGGGGCTGCGCCGAGCGCTCGAGAAAGCCACCTAGAGGCGACTCCGGGGCGCGCGCGGCGGCGGCGGCGGCGGCGGCGCTTCTCCTCCCCGCCCCCCACCTCCCGGTGGCGTCCCCGCCCTCCCTGGGAGCATGTTGACATATGCGCGGGACGGGCTCGTAGTACGGAGCGGCGCAGCGACGTGACCGTTTCCGACACCTTCTTTTTATAACTCGGCTCTATCCCCCAGCACTCGACCTGTGAAAACCACGCCTATGCAGCCACACAATTGGTCCGAAAGCGTCAAAGAGCCAATCAAGAGGCCTCGGGCTCCCCGCAGCCCTCCGCACGGCCCGTCCGCCTAGAGCCGCCCAGCAGACGCCCGGGGAATTCTAGAGGCGCGCGGGGCGGCGAGCACAGCTCCGCTCGCGCTCTGCCTCTCCCGCTCGCTCTCCCTCGCTCCTGCTCGCTCGCGCGCGCTCTCCCTCCTTCGCCTTCTCCCCCACCCCCTGCTCCCCCTCCCGTCCCACCCCCCGCCGATTCCTCCCTCGCCCCGCGCGCCGGCACGCAGATTTAGGAAGCGAATTCGCTCACGTTTGCGGACAAGGAAGAGAGAGGCGCGAGCGGAGAGCGCTGGCAGATTCGGAGCGAGACCCAGACCCAGTCCGGACGCGCGGCGCGGAGCAAGGAGGAGCGGGCGGACGGACGGAAGCCGCGGCGCACTCCGAGTTTTGATCGCGCTCGGAGGAGAGGGCCGCCGTCCGATTGTTTTTGTGCTTTTTCCCCCCTTAAAGAAGAGAGACTTTTTTCCCTCCCACCCCTCCCTCCTCCTCCTCCTCCACCTCCTCCTCCTCCTCCCCCACCCCGGCTCCCCGGCGGCTCCCCCGTTCCCCAGCCGAGTCGAGCGCAGACTGCAGACGCCGGCCGCGAGCCACCAAAATAAGGGGGTGTTGGGGGCGGGAGAAGAAGAAAAGGTTAAAAAAAAAAGGCGTCCTAGGAGAGCCGTTCGCCTTGGCAACAAAGAAGCAGAGAGATTCCCCCCGAGCGGGGCTGCGGCCGTGCCTGTTTCCAGCTCACCGGGCCCGGGGCTCCTGCGCGGGCGGAGACCCCGCAGCCCTCTGGCCTCCGAAAGCGACTTCCAGGAGCGGCTTTTAAAAAACAAATCGCCAGGAGCCGGGACTGTCCCTCCCCCTGCAGCGACGATGTCTCTGATTTTCTCGCCTGGCTCTCTTTAAAAGCACCGTGCCCGTCCCCAAAAGACACTTCTTGCTCCCACCCTGCCTCCCTCGGGGGTGCTCCTGTGGTGACTGATTTCATCTTTTTTCCTTTTTCTTGAAAAAAAAATGTGCGACTGCTAAAAAAAAAAAGAAAGGAAAGAAGAAGGAACAAAAATAAAACACCAAAGCAAAAACAAAAGCAAACCAAGCCAAGAGCAGCTGCGGACTTGCCCCGGCTGAAGCCCCGCGCCCGGCCGGCGGTGCATGAGCCTCTCCATGAGAGATCCGGTTATTCCTGGGACAAGCATGGCCTACCACCCGTTCCTACCTCACCGGGCCCCGGACTTTGCCATGAGCGCGGTGCTGGGCCACCAGCCGCCCTTCTTCCCCGCCTTGGCTCTGCCGCCCAACGGCGCCGCGGCGCTCTCGCTGCCGGGGGCCTTGGCCAAACCCATCATGGATCAGTTGGTGGGCGCCGCGGAGAGCGGGATGCCTTTCTCCTCGCTGGGGCCCCAGGCGCATCTGCGGCCTCTCAAAACCATGGAGCCCGAGGAGGAGGTGGAAGATGACCCCAAAGTGCACCTGGAGGCCAAGGAACTTTGGGACCAGTTTCACAAACGGGGAACAGAGATGGTGATCACCAAGTCGGGAAGGTAAGGCGGCTGGAGGGGTCCTGTCCCCGCCAACCCCCCCCCCCCCCAAAGCGACTGGACTTTCTCTCCCCACCATCCTCTGCTTGCTTTCCCTCTCTTTCCAGAGCTCTGGGTTTGGCCGTCACTTGGGCTGGCAGGAAAAGTTTCATTCCCTGGGAGCCGGGTGAAATCGACTCTCTGGCTGTGCCCGGATGGCAGGAAATTTCGGCTTACCTGGGTGTCAGCCGCCAGCCCTGCTGCTCGCTTCTTCCTATGGGATTCCTGCAAACTAGGATTTTTTTTATTTTTCTGGGTGTTGGCAGGGGAGGCACAGAGGTTTTTGCTAGGAAGAAAGGAGGCCCCTGGTGCAGGAAGTTTGAAACCTTTCTGGACCATCTTTCTTTGCTGATGTTGCATGTTTTTGTCTGTTTCACTTTCTTCTGCCAGAGGCAAATCTAAAGATGGGGGGCCTGACCCCGGTGCCCCCTTCCCCCTTCTCTGTCCTTCGGCGGGGCCTCTGGGTCTGGATGGGGTGGGGTGGGGGTGCTTCAGCCTCCCTGCTGGGCTCACAGAGAAATCCTAGGGCATTTAGGTGTGTTTGCCCGTTGCATTCACGTGTCCGAGATCCAGGGGTGAGCTCGAGAGGCAATTTTGGATCAGGAAGATTATGTTTGCAGATTCAAGGCGCCCCGTGGGACGCAGGCAGCTCTGGGGAAAGTGTGACGATTAGCAAACCTATTTTACATAACTTTCTGAGGTTCTTGCCTAGCTGAAACCTGTTTGTCATTGAAAGTCACTCCTTTATTTTTTGGGGGGGGGTGGTGCAGGGGTGGTATTCCACACCATCGAGGTATGAATGTTGAAAAATAAAAAATTAGAGCACCTTCTTCCCCTCCGTGCGCCTTGAAACTGCATCTCTTCCAGCTAGAGGAGGCGAAAGTTGAGCATAAGATCCTCCAACCCAGGAGACGGCTGTAGTCAAGCTGCCCAGCAGAAGGTGATCAAGTTAAAAATGCTAGGAGGTCACCGTTTCTGGAACATGCACGGCAATTTGTGGCCTGATCTTGCATTTGGGGGCTGACCTGAGTGGCCACAGGGCCGCTGTTTCTCAGCATGCAAAGTAAATCGGTTATCAGGCCCGGGAGAGTTCACCCCAATCTACAATATTCGTTTGGGGTGCTCTTGAACGTCCAGTTTCATTTCGCCAGCGGCGGGTTTGCTCTTCCGCACCCCGGGCAGACAGCCTGGTGCAGCTTGATGTTTATTTCCTAGATAAGTTCAGCTTTTTCATCTGGAAGTAATGGAAAATCCTAGCCTTGTCTGACCGCACTAAAAAAATCCTACCCCAAACTGTTGGGTAGTAGAGAGGGGAGAAAAAAAACATAGGCAAAAAAAGGTTGATCTATAAAGTGAAACAAGAGGGAAACATTTTCATAGCGATTGTTGGACACTGTGGAGAAATTTGGTGACAATGTTGTTTTGAATTTGGGCATGTTGGGAGATAGGAGATTGATCAATTCTCGGCTAATGCCGAAAGGGAAACAGTTGCTCCCCCGACTACTCTGCCCCAAGCCCAGAAGCTCCATCAATCCAGGTGGAAATTTTAAACATTGTGTTTAAATATTGGTGAACAGAGAGTCAAACTCAAGATTCTGAGTGATTTTCTTTCTTTTCCCCGTCTCTTCTCTCCTGTTGTAGGCGAATGTTTCCTCCGTTTAAAGTAAGGTGTTCTGGGCTTGATAAAAAAGCCAAATATATTCTGTTGATGGACATTATAGCTGCTGATGACTGTCGATATAAATTTCACAATTCCCGGTGGATGGTAGCGGGTAAGGCTGATCCTGAAATGCCAAAGAGAATGTATATTCACCCCGACAGCCCGGCTACTGGGGAACAGTGGATGTCTAAAGTTGTCACTTTCCACAAACTGAAACTCACCAACAACATTTCGGACAAACACGGATTTGTAAGTTTCACTGCTCCTTCTAGTCAAACCTTCCAGCCAGGGGCTAGCAGAGGCTAATGCTCCCTCCTCCACATAAAATCCCACTTTCTGATCACCTTCCTCCCTTGCTCTCCGTGGCAAAGGGTAGCAAACTTGCTTAACCCGCCACTCAGATGGGGAGAGAGAAGATTCTCTCTGCATTCTGTAAGGCCTGGCTTTCTGAAAGAAACCGGGGGGCAAGGAACCCTACCAGGGCACCAAATTCTTTGGCAATTCCAGGTCCTCGGCAAATGCCTCCGCTGACCGGGAGGTTCCAACCTAATCATTCAGCTCTAGAATCAACTTTAAAAGTTACGGGTTCTGTTTGAAGTCAGCGGGCTTCTCTTGTGAGATCGGTTTCTTTCTGGGGAGAATTGAAGGAACCCGGACTCCCTTCTGTGTACTTGGAGGTTGAAAGACATTTTTGGAAAGGTTCGCTTTTTTTCCCCAAAGAGGAATTGGGGCTGAGGGGACAAGTCTAATTTAAACACGAGGCTTCGATCTTCGGTGTTAAAAAAAAATAAAAAACCCTCCGTCTGTGAGTGTGTGCGCGCGTGTGCGTGCGTGTTTGTGTTGGGGTTGGTTATATACACGGAGTCAGTGGCAGCATAGAGAAACTTTCAGAGAACTCGGAGTGCTGGTAACAGTCACGCCAAAGACCTTTCGCCCCTGCCCCTCCCCCTCCCCAACATTTCAACGAAATAAACAGTGATAAGAGAGGAATAAGCTGCAAGAAGAGGCCCAGGGAGTCTCGGATGGCGGATGGGTCGGAACGCCGCCTCTCCGAGGGCAAGAATTGCATTTGAAGCCCTTGATTTGATTAAGGCATAAATATTCCTCTCTGGAGTTCAGCCTTTCAAGGCTTTAAGTGGATTGGGCTCGTCAATTAGTGGGCGCTTAAAGGACTGAATCATTTTGTAAATTAAAATGCATGTTTTTCTCTATCTTTTAAGACTTTGGCCTTCCCAAGCGATCACGCAACGTGGCAGGGGAATTATAGTTTTGGTACTCAGGTAGGCTAGGGTTCCAGATCCGAATAACCCTTTTAGATGGGGCGGGGCGGGGGGGCACCCTTTGGAAATGAAGGAGCCCTTTGGATTCTCCAGCAGATAACATCTATGGAGTAGAATGTCCCCCAAAGCGGTGCTGAGGAGGTGGGCCGGGTCCACGCCTGGTACATTTTGTGGGGTCGGCCCAGTAGGGGTCCGAAGATTCGCTTTGTCCCCAGCCAGCCTGGTTTTTTGACGTACCTCTTTTTCTCCCACCCCTGCAGACGATCTTGAACTCGATGCACAAATACCAGCCCCGTTTCCACATTGTCAGAGCCAATGACATCTTGAAACTCCCTTATAGCACATTTCGGACCTACTTGTTCCCAGAAACAGAGTTCATCGCTGTGACCGCCTACCAGAACGACAAGGTACCCAGGGTGCTTGCTTCCCTCCCCTGAGCTTTTTCCCTGCCCTGGCAGCTCGCCTTGGGTGCAGAGGAGAAATTGGGGGGACAGGAATGGAGGGAAATGATCTTCGGAGCTGCCTTCTCGGATCTGACCCTCTGGGGCGCTGGGGGGTGGGGGTGGGAGGTCGTGTTGGCCAATCTTGCTAGAAGACCTCGTGGGGAGGGGATGTGTATGTGTGTGGGGGGGACAAATTTGGCTGAAGCTAAAGGACCCCATATTGAGGGAGAAAAGCGCCCATTGAGTTTTGCCCCACAAGAAGGTCCTGGGACCCTCTGGCTGAGAGCAGTCTGAATCCCTCTGGCTTCTGTCAACTCCTTTCCTCGGTCCCCTTTGAGGAAGGCAAATCAGGACACCGAGATGCAGAAGAAGCAGCTCAACATTGAAGGCAAAAGCCATTTGGGGTTCTGGGAGGAGAATCCCAGAGAAGAGCTTTTCTCCTCCCGGGGCTGGGCCGTAAGAGCCAGAATTCTCAAATAGCTGGTCTGGTTTTTATTACCTTTTATGCTGCTGTGTTTTTTATGGTGTGTGTGTGTGTGTGTGTGTGTGTGTGAGAGAGAGAGAGAACCCACCCCCCCAGCACAAGGCTGTGTTCATCAAGTTGTCTGAGGCTCTGGGGAAAAGGTCCCCACTTGAGTTGAAGTTTTACTGCAGCTCTTTCTCCCCTCCCGTGGGGCTGAGGTTGGGGGTCAGGGGCACCCCCAAGTGGAAACTCGGGCAACACAGGGAATGTAAAGGCAGGATGGCCTGAAGGTTAGGAGCTTGGAGATAGAGACCGAGAACACTCCAGCTTACTGCCACCACTGTCCCTTCCCACAGCTTAACTGCTTGCAGCTTAGGGAGGGATGGGGGTGGGGGGTGGGGGAGACTCGTCCGGGCCCCCAGATCTTCCACTTCTGATTCCTGGACAGACCTCAGAGGGCCTATCCAGCTGGCCATTCAACACCCTGCCTTCAGAATTCACTAGCACTGTGGGTGGTTCCTCTGGGGTGAGGGTACAGGTGTTGGGGGAGGGGGTCGGCCGGTTGATCTAGTATCTCTTTAGTCTGGTGGAAAGGTGATCAGACCACCTGTCCCTGCAAGTCCCTAACTCAGGAATTGATGCTGAGAACCAGAATCCATCCCAAGGGCCCTTTACAGCTCCTGGGAACTCGGTACCTTCCATTCTTCACCCCCAAGGGAAGGGATCAGCAAGATTACACACTGGAGTATTTTCCTAAGTTTGCCAGTTCCCTTTCAGCCACCCCCCACTTCCCCCAGTCCGGTGGCTCTGAGCTGTTAACATAATAATAACAAAACTGTCACCTTTGGGGAATCAGACCAGACAAAGAGGCCATTCCTACCTGTGGCGGCAGAAATGCTCACGAAAATGAATGCTCCAAGCGGTCACGCAGCCCTTTTTTAATCTGTAATTGTCAATATTGGAATTCCTCAAACACCTCCCTCCCGCCCCCCTTTTTTTTCTCCCCAGCTAGGGGGGGGGAAAATATCAAACCCACTCAGCACAAGGTAGTGGAACCCCATAAATCATTTTATTAGATTCACAGAAAAGGTTGGCGCATAGGCTGCGTCTGTATGTTCGGGGGGCAGGAAATATGCCATTACGCATTTTATGATTAATTGCGCTTTATAAAAAGAAATCAAAATGAGAGCATAATGTTACATGCTGCAGCGTACACCTGAAACTAATATAAAGTTGTCTGTCAATTCTACTTCAATAATAATAACAACACCAAGACTAAAGAGTAAAACTGCAAGTTGTGCTTTTGGATAACTTTGACTCGTTTTCCAATCCTGGGCCCAAACTGTTGGCTGGTTACAGACACAAGGCCCCTTCCAAGTTGATTAGCATGGCCTGACTGCAAGGCGCTGGGGTGGGGGGGGTGGGGGGATTATGAATGGATCTGGAGTTGTTTTCTCCTCTGTGTGGGGGCCTTAACCCAAAGATGCCTGTTCGCATTCACATTTGCAAGAGACTGAGAGACTGTTGAGTGGAGGGGAACACCCCTCAAACACCCTAGAGCATGAGGTCAACCGTTTTTTTTCTTTTGTGTGTCTTCTCTAGATAACTCAGTTAAAAATAGACAACAACCCATTTGCAAAAGGTTTCCGGGACACTGGAAATGGCAGGAGAGAGAAAAGGTGAGCTGGGCCATTTATTCACTTCCCAGGTCACGAACCCCCTTTCCAGGCCCTCTGTGCCGCTCTGAGTGGGGGGCGGTCTGGTCTGCACAGTCATGGAGTCCTTGGAGTGCTTCTGGTTTTTTCTGCTCCGACATGTTTGCCCAAGGTGCAGCCAGTCCCATCTCCCCGCCGCGACCCCCCCTCCCCGCCCCCCCCCCCCCCCGCCTCCCTCCCACTGCCCCCGAAGACTGTCTTTAGAAAAAAAAGTTTCTGGAGAAGGCAGACTGGCCACAGACGCCTATGAATTCCTAATTAACATTGGTTCATCCTGGGCAGGCCCCGGGAAAAGGTCGAAGCCATTCACAAAAAAAGCTCTGGAATTTTTGCAATCTTGTCTTGCAAATGCCATCACGTGAAGCCCCCTGAGAAACCTCTGCCCCCCACCCCCTTCATGGGTACCAGGATCATTTTGCATTACAGCAGACAGCTGGACTGTGGAGAAAAGTCGCTCTCCCCTCCCCTCCTCCACTTTCAAAGAATTTCTAAAATCCAGAAAATGACACTCACCCCTCGAATTTTTAACCTATCCCCTTGGGGAAGGGATGGGCATTAAAAAAAATGGAGAGGAAATTTCTAACATCTAAGTGGATTTTTTTTTTTTACTCCAATTAATGTGTTGGTGAACTGATTACTGCAAAGTGCACCATGAAATAGGCACTTCCTTGCAATCATAGCAACCGGCCTGAGTGAGAAGCTGTTAGTGTTCAAGGCCTTGGGGTCCCCACCCTGCTCCCCTCCCTCCACCCGGCTGGCTGTTCAGCTGTCCCTGGCCTGCTCCTGCCTCTCTTGAACTTTGAAGGCAGACTTCCCAGTCCAAGCCTCAAGCCTCACTTTGTGTTGGGAGATTTGGGGGGTGGGGGTGGGGTAGGTTCTGGAACCCAGGGAGGGAAAGGAGGGTCCGTTGGCAACGCTGAGGTCTGTGCAGCCACCCTGCAGCTGGTCTCCTTTCTGCCACCTCAGAATCAGGTGGCAGCCCGGGCTGCAGTGAGGTGCAGGGGACCCAGCCAGGGGTAATGTATTTCATATTTCGGGGGGGTCTTGTGTCCTTGGCAGGAAGCAGCTGACCCTGCAGTCCATGCGTGTGTTTGAGGACAGACACAAGAAGGAGAACGGCACCTCGGATGAGTCTTCGAGCGAGCAGGCCTCCTTCAGCTGCTTCGCTCAGTCTCCTGCCGTGTCCACTGTGGGCACCTCCAACCTCAAAGGTAAGTCTGACCCCCTCGAGGTCTCCACGTGGCTGTCCCTCTAGGAGCAGGAGCTGGTGCAGGATGGCAGTGTAGTGGTGGGGGGCTTGCCCTTCCTACACTTCTGGGCCTTCTAGAAGCGCAGAGTATCACCCGAGTGTCACCCATCCTGGTGGTGCTATATTCAGGACACCCTTTAGGACACTCTCAGAACCCTAACTCAGACACAACTGGGGAGGGGTGTTTATTTCTTCTTGGTGATTTGGGTGGGGGGCAGTTTAGAAAAGGGTCTGGAACACCTCCCCCTCCTCCCCGCAATTCTCCAGAAAAAAGCACCACTGACTTTTCACCATCTTGGAACTTGAGGTGATATTGGCCTGGGGCGGGCTGGCGTGTCATTTGCCACCTGGGTCAAGAAAGAGGGGTACCAAGAAAATACGTCCCCAGCCCCAGAATGGGGATGAGGGAAGGGGCCAAGCTCCTGACATCCCCCCCACCCCTGTATCCCCAGTGTCTCCTGCAATTGTCAGCTTTATTATAATTTTTCAAAAGGGAAATAGAATCAAAGCCCTTTGTCTTCAATGCAGTGAAACTTTAAACAGAAACTAGAGTCCTCTTTTTCTCTGCTCTTCTCCTTTCTCTTCTTTTCCTTCTAGTACCTTAGAAGGGGCAGTGACAGCAGAGAATGAGGGGTTCTCTTCAGCCTTTACCCCGGGTGGAGTAAATTCTGGGGGGTGTGGACTGTGTGTTTGCAGGCTTGCTCCTTTGGGGTGGAGGGAAGGGGGTCTTCCTCTCCTAAGGAATCCCTTTGAAAGACTTCTCCAGGCCCTGGGGGGAGGGGTGCTGTCCCCCATGGAACAAAGATGTTAGCAGTCAGTGCAAATTTCCCCCTAGTTTAGGGTCCGGTTTCCTTTTTGACAGTCAGTCGGGGACAGGCTTCCAAAAAGTTTGAGATGGAATCACGAATCCGAATGGACTCCAACAATTTCTGATGTTTCCCTGTAGGGGCCTGGGGGCGGTTGTGGGGGGAGGGGTCCATTCTGCAGATGAAACCCTGGAGGCTCCCACCCTCCCCTTCCCCGGGGGAGGGAGCCGGCTTCCTTGCGCCCGCGCGCGCGCCCCGCGCTCGTGGGACCCCTCCTGACGCCCCGGCGCCCCTCCGCGTCCTCCCCTTCCCGCGCTAGATCTGTGTCCCAGCGAGGGCGAGAGCGACCCCGAGGCCGACAGCAAGGAGGAGCCGGGCCCCGAGGCGTGCGACGCGGCCAAGATCTCCACCACCACGTCGGAGGAGCCGGGCCGCGACAAGGGCAGCCCCGCGCGCAAGACGCACCTCTTCGCGGGGACCGAGGCGGGCGGCCGATCCCGGGACGCGGGGCGGCTGGACAAGGCGTCGCCCGACTCGCGCCACAGCCCGGCCACCATCTCGTCCAGCATTTCGTCCAGCACCCGCGGCCTGGGCGCCGACGAGCGCCGCAGCCCGGCCGCGCCGTCCAAGGCCGAGGAGCCGCGCGCGCTGCCCGCCAAGGAGATCTTCGCGCCGCTGTCGGCGCCCACGGACGCGGCCGCCGCGCACCTGGGCCAGAGCGCGCTGCCCGGCCTGGGCTTCGCCCCCGGCCTGGCCGGCCAGCAGTTCTTCAACGGGCACCCGCTCTTCCTGCACCCCGGCCAGTTCGCCATGGGGGGCGCCTTCTCCAGCATGGCAGCGGGCATGGGCCCCCTGCTGGCCACCGTGTCCGGCGCGTCCACCGGCGGCGTCTCGGGCCTGGATTCCTCGGCCATGGCCTCGGGGGCGTCCGCGGCCACCCTGCCCTTCCACCTCCAGCAGCACGTCCTGGCCTCGCAGGTATGGGAGCACCGGGGAAGGAGCCCCTCCTGGCAAGGCCAGAGCTGGGACGCGGTGGGGCGGGGGTCTCACACGCTCTCCTCCCCAGACGGCTGACCTCCCACCCCCCTCCCCCGCAGAGGGCGGTTTCTTCGCAGAGTAATTAGACAGTCATAAAGCCCCGGGGGCAGCGCTCTTGTCAACCCCCAGGACAGAGGCCCCGAGAGGTTGAGGGATTGATTCAAGGTCACACAGCTGCGGAGTGGAGAACTCACCTCCAGGGCTGACCCTGAGCTTGGGCTTGGGTTGGTGGGTTGGTGGGATTTGGTTCAGGGACCGCCCCCTGGTGATGCTCGGGACTTACACCTGGGGCTGCGCCCAGGGGTCACACCTAGGGTGCAGGGTGGCTGGGGGGTGCTCCAGAGACCCTGAGAGCTCTGTGACCCCCTGGCTTTCGGCCCCTGAGCTCAGCAGGCTCTCAAATGTCTGTAGAGCACCCTTCCCCCGGAGTCTCCGCACGGGGCGTGGCTGGGGCCGTTGTCCCTGGAGGGGGTTAAGTCTTGATTCTTCCAACACCCCCTGCCCCTCCATTTTAAAGCTTTGCTCTTCCCTTCCAAGGGTTAATGGTTGGTGCACACAGTGGCGGGGTGGGCTCCTTGGCCTGGGGTGGGGGGCTCAGACAGCTCTGTGGGGAGAAGTCTCACCCCCCTGGAAACACCTGGAGGGGAAGGGGAGGCCAGGCAGGGGGTGGCGGGGGGCACCTCTCCTTCCCCAAGTTCCCTTTTGGTTTTGCCTGAGCATGGGCAAGTGAGAGATGGTCCAGGAAGCCCACTTGAATGATCCCCGAAATTGGGGAGAAGGAGAGCCAGCCGGGCCACTTCCTGCGTCCCCCAGGGGTGCTCAGCTCCCCCCCCCAGGGACTGCAGCGTTTTCTTTATTTTTGCATTACCAAAACTTCTAGGCTTCCCAGGACAGTGTCCCAGGAGTGTCTGTCCCCGCCTGGGGGCCCTCGGGCTTTTCACAGGCTCCCAACTGGCTCGCAGACAGGTGCCAGCCTGAGCTGGGCTTCCCACCCGCCCTGTCCCTGCCTGGCATCCTGCAGGCATTAGCGCCCCTAATATCCTCGAAGCCCCTCCTAGGGCCCCAAAGGCGCCTCCCCTGTTGCTCTGAGAGGGGAGGGGCGCCCAGAGGGAGATCCGAGGGGTCTCAGCATCGCACCCCCCACCCCAGCCTGAGTGTCCCCAGCAAGGGGGGGCATGGCAGGGGCAGGAGGGGGGTTGTCCGGCCTGGCCCGGCGCCCACCCACAGTCTTCTCCTCCCTCCCGCAGGGCCTGGCCATGTCGCCGTTTGGAAGCCTGTTTCCTTACCCCTACACCTACATGGCCGCGGCGGCCGCCGCCTCCTCCGCCGCAGCCTCCAGCCCGGTGCACCGACACCCCTTCCTCAGCCTGAACAGCATGCGCCCGCGCCTACGCTACAGCCCCTACCCCATGCCGCTGCCCGTGCCCGACGGCGGCGGCCTGCTGACCATGGCAGCCGCCGCGGGCCCCCTGGACGCCAAGGCCGCCGCCCTGGCCGCCAGCCCGGCCGCGGTGGCGGTGGAGTCGGGCTCGGAACTCAACAGCCGCTCCTCCGCCCTGTCGTCCAGCTCCGTGTCCTTGTCGCCCAAACTCTGCCCCGACAAAGAGGCGGCCACGAGCGAGCTGCAGAGCATCCAGAGGTTGGTCAGCGGCCTGGAGGCCAAGCCCGACCGCGCCCGCAGCGCTTCCCCGTAGAGGCCCGCCCGGCCTCGGGACGAGTCTCCATTCCAGCCCAGTCTGCAGTGCACTTTGTCACCCCCGGCCGCCCCCTTCTGTGTGGCTCCCGCCTGGGGGCAGGGGGAAAGGGAGGGGCTGGGGCTGTTTTCCGGACCCCGTCGGGAGACCGGGAGCTAGAAACGGGCCAATGTCTTGGCAGGTTCTGGACCGGGATCTGACCCCGCGTTCTGGTGACACTGAGCTTCGGGGGTGGGGGTAAGAATTGGAGGGGTTCAGGCATTTCTGGGGGAGGGGAGAGTCCCCTCAGCCGGGCTACCGCCGCCTCCAAGGAGGAAAGTCTAGCCAGCCAGGGCCACCCAGAGGGCAGGGGTGAGCGCCCCCCCACCCGCCACCCCGCCTCAGCACAGATTTCTAGATAAGTATCTTATTTTCCCCCATCACTGTGTCAAGTGGGAAGGAAAAATAGAATCAAAAGGAAAAAAAAAAATACCGGGACAAGTGAACACATTGAACAAAAGTGTGTTGGTGGAGATGAAAAACGAGTGACGGGGGTCCGGGTGGTGTTTGGGGGGGTGGCGGGGGGGGGCCTGGGTCCCCCCCGCACAAGTCTCTATTAAGGACAATCTGTGTCTTTTTTTGCTATTCTTGTGATGTTTTCAGAGCCCCTGTGGGTCTCTTGCATGTTCCACGGTCGTGTTTTGTGGTTTTTCTTTCTGAATGCTTGCTTACAGAGAGGAAAGGGACCCTCCCCACCTGGCCACACTTCTCCCAGCCCCACGTCGGAGTGGGGAGGATGACAAAGGCAAGGAGTGGGGGGGGGAGAAACACACATGAATTTATTTTGTCTGAGCTGTAGCGCATTCAACCACCACCTCCTCCCCGTGCCCCCCTGACGGGGGCCTTTCTCTTTCCTGTATATGCAATAACAAGGTTTTAAAAAAAAATAATAAAGAAGTGAGACTATTAGACAAAGTATTTATGTAATTATTTGATAACGTTTGTAAATAGGTGGAATATGAATGCTCGGAAATAGAACTTTAATTTATTGACATTGTACATAGCTGTATGTAAATAGGATTGCAGCGTTGGGTGAGGGGGGGGCTTTTGTGGTTTACCTTGAGGTCACCCAACCCCCCCCCCATCGCTTTTAAAACTAGAAAAACACACTTTCTGCACCAACACAGTACATAGGCGAAAGAAGGAAAGAAAACGCAGGGCACACATTTCAAAAAAAAGTTTATCTTTTTCTCTTTTTAGTATCCAAGAGTTGGAAAGTGTTTTAGTGCTTGTCTTAATCTAAGCCCACCGCCCTCTGATTCCTGAAACTCAGCCCCCACCCAGACTGGTTCTAAGAAGGCTTTGAAGGTTGGAGGGGGGAAGCTTATGCATTGAGGCTGTGGATTGACTTTCGAATTTTTCTTTTGTATTTGCTAGTCTCTGATTTCTTCAAAACGAAGTGGAATTTACTACTGTCTTCTTCGATGTTGATGGTGTTTTGAATTGGTGCCTATAGAGATTCACAGTTCAAAAAGTCAGGTGCTGAGAGATGTTTAAGACAAAAAAAAAAGTATGAAGGTATATTTTGTGTTATAATTGTTGAGTTATTTGGCTTCCTGTATCCCTCCCGCCCCTTGAAAACATCGTTGAAATTTCAATAAATTTTTATTGAAATGTCTCTGGGCCTTGTGTTAAATGCTATCTGGAGCGAACCGGGAGAGTCGCTGTTTCCTCATTCCCCTTCGCCTTTAAATAATTAAGACCGCCCCCACGGAACCCAGATAGATGTCACTCAAGTTACCAAGCTAAAAACAAAAGTCCCAGCTCTGGCCTAGGGAACAGGGACCGGCTCCAATCTGAAATGACTTTTCCTTTAAATTAGGGGGCAGCACGAGAGAGGAAGGGAGGCTGATTAGAATGGGATAGGATAGCAATTTCAGATACTTAAGTTTTAATGAAAAAAGAATGCTGGGCTCCCTCTGGCTCCCCCCCCCCCCACCCAACCAAAAATAAATCTCGGGACTGCCAAGCGTTTTTGCCTGAGTCTCATTCTCCCTTCGCCATGACCTGGAAGATCCAAATCAAAAATATCTTCTGGTCCAGGCAGTCTGTGCAGAACCAGGCCTGAACTGGGTCAGGCAGTGCCCAGGGGCTGGGAGACACAGGGAAGGTTCCCCGCGGGGGCCCCCCCCGGGGGGGGGGCAGGTTGGCCCAGGGCACCCGCAGGGCCCTGTGCCACAGATTGAGATCATCGGCTCTGGGGAGGAAAGGGGGTTGAGGGCTCACCCTCTCCCCACAGAAGTCACCCTGGGGCCCACCTCGGCTCCCTCCTCCGACCTGCCTCCAGGCTTTTGAAGTCCAATTTATCTCTGAAGCCATTCAGTAAAAAATGGTGGGGCCCCCAACTCCCGCTCTCCCCCAGCCTCCCAGCCGCACCTCAGAAGTGTGTGTGTGTGTGTGTGTGTGTGTGTGTGTGTGTGTGTGTGTGTGTGTCCTGCAGGCGCCCTCTCACCAGGGGGCTGAGACGTGAGGACTCGGCCTGACGCCTGCCTGCCTCCAACCCCCACACCGGAGCCCGCCAGCCGGGCCCCAGGTCCCTGTCACCTTCTGTCCCCGTGAGTGCTGGGAAGGGGAGCACGTGGAGAGTCCCCAGACCCCCACCCCCACCCCTGCCTGTTGGGGGCGGGGAAGAAAGCGATCAGGGGCTCCTGGGGGCCCCTGCACCCGCCCCCCACCCCCCCCAGCCAGCTCTGGGCGTCACTGCTGGGCGGGAGAAGTTCCAAGGTGGCTGGAGGTGCTCCCCTCCCCGGGAGAGGAATCCCCCTGCCCTGGGCCCCAGGGTCTCAGCTGGCTCCTCCCAAGGCTTTCGCCTTATCCTATTTTATTTCTATTTCATTTTTTAATCTCCTGCGTATCTTATTTGTCTATAGGGACGTTAATGAGTAACTGGGTGCGCTGCCGGCGGCCGCTCACAATCTCGCTCCCTCTCCTGGCTATTACTCACCTGGCGCCGGGCTTTATGGTGGCGGCGGCGCCTGCGTCTGTCTGTCTGTCCCGGGCTTCCAGTGCCACCTATCTGCCGGGGCTGGCCGCCCGGACTGGGCACTTGACCTTTGCCCCCCCCCCCCCCGCGTCCCCGCGCCCAGCCCCCACCCTGCCCCCCAGCCTGGGAAGAAGCCGCGGCCCCGCTTTCCTGAATATCACTTTCACCCCCGTGGGGACCTCAGATGAGGAAAACAGCCCCGCGACCCCGGGTTCCCACGGAAGTCGGAGACTCGGAGGGGGGCGGGACGGGGAGGGGGGCTGTCTCTCCTCATTCATTCTCCCCCTTCGAAAGAACTGACCAGCGAGTTGGGGGTCTCTGCTGGGTGGGTGCCAGCAGGAAGCCCCGCGCCCCTCCCCCGCCCGCACCCTCCGCCCGCACGCGCCCCGGGTCCGAGCTTTCCTCGCTGACTTCTCGGGGAGGACAGAAGCCGCCGCGGGTCCTGGAGGGCCCCCCGGGGAGCGGGCGGCCCGCAGCCGGCCAGGCCCCGGCCCCCGCCCCTGGGGAAAGCCGGTTTGCAGCCGGGCAGCGCCCGGGCGTCGGGGCCGGGCGCAGGGGGCGGGGAGGTCGCCTTGGGCTGAGCTTTGAGCCGCGGGGAGAGGCGTCGGGTGCCTGCTGACCTCGCGGCGCTAATTGCCGGGGCCGAAGGGCGCACTCTGGCCGCGGCAGGGTCACGACCCCGCGCTCCCTGCCCCCGCGCGCCCACCCCCCACTCTCCGGGGGTCCCCGGCAGCCCCCCGGGAGCGGGGCGCGGGCGCGCGTTTGGGACTGCGCGCGGAGCCCCCTCGGCCTGCGTGTGCGCCGCCCTGGACCCCCTTCCCTGCTTTTTTCTTTTTTTGCTGGTTTCCTTTTTTTTTTTTTCCTTTTTTGCGTCGGGGCCCTGCCACAAAAATTCCATCTCGGCAGCGAAGCCGCGTCCCGACCTTTCCCCGGAGTCGGCAGAGCGGCGGGCGCCTTGGGCGCGCGCGCGACACCAGCGCGCTTCGCCTGCGCCCGCTTTCGGCCCCGCAGCGCTGCGGGTCTGACCTCGCGGGGATGGGGGCCCGCCGGGGAGAGGGGGTCTCGGCCCCGCACCCCGGCCTGGGCTCCGGCCGGCGATAGGCCTCGGGGACCCCCCCCCTCTCCTGCAACCCCCCACCCCCACCCCGGAGGCGGCGCGCCTGGAGCTGCAGGTGCGAGGCGGTGCCGCGGGGCTGGACGTGCGCCGCCCGCGCTCGGCCGCGGCCGTCTCCTCCAATTTGGATCGCGGGGTTTCCTGCGCCGGAGCGCGCCGGATGGGGATGCGTTTGGTTGCTTGACAATCAAGATGCGTGTAATCAACATGTATATGTTACAGATGTCTCCGTTCAAAGTTCACCCGACGGCTGTAATCAAACTCGCCGCCTCGCGGGGCACGTGCGCGCGCCGTGCCGCGCAACCCACTGCTGGGAGCGTCCTCAGCCTCGCCCCTGGCTTTCACCCCTGACTCACGGGGGCGGGGGGGGGGGGGGAAACTGAGGCCGGAACCCTCCGGCTGCTTCCCCACGAACCTCCTCCCTCCTCCCCACACCACACACCCGGCGTACGTTTCTCGTCCCTCTGGAGGGGCGCGCCCCGCTGTGCGCGTCCCGGGTGGAGAGAACTGTAGTCTCCCGGGTCAGACTGCAGGTTGAAGGCCCCAGCGCAGGCTGATGAAAAGAGGAGCCCAGAAATCGGGGGAGACGTGGGGAGAGGAGGGGGCAGGTTAGACACGCCGGGAGTTGCACTGGCCGGCGCCCAGGACCGGCGCTTTAGGGCTGGCCTGAGAAAATCTCACCGCCTCTGCATGGTGCCACGTTCGGGTTAGGTCTCCAGGGAGCTGGGAGATGAGTCTTGAGCGTATGGCTTCCCTCCAGCGCCTTGTTTTCCCAGCTTTCCCCAGCTTCCTAGTACTGGCTGAGCCCTAACTGCCCAGTGGGCACCGTATCTAGAGGCTGCACACACGCCCCCCCGCCCCCCCCCCCCCCATCCCAGGACACCCGTACCCTCAGCTCCCAGGACCCTAAGCAGAGCTCATTGTCCGGGCTTACTGCCTCTCACCACCAGGCCCCAGCTGGGAGCGTTTCTGAGCTCATGGGGAGAAGAGGAATGTGGCAGGGACCCCATGGGCCACAAGAGGCCTCTGACAACCAAAGGACCCATCTCGCTGGCGCTAAGAGGGGGTGTGTGCTGCGGGGCGGCCTCTGGGTGGGAGACAGGAAAAGTTTCCCTGCCACCAAGACCCAAGGCTCTTTCTGTCCTGGAGGAGAAGCTGGCAGAGAGGTGGGCACTGCTGTGGGGTCTGGGGCTGGCAGTGAGCAGGCAGTCCCGGGTCTGGGTGGGGGGCGGGGAGATAATGATGGGGGCATTGGGATAGGCAGAGATGAGATCCCCCCCAGTCCTAGCACCCCAGTCTTTGAAATGTGATCTCCAGCATGGGGCCTTCCTGCTGGGTTGCCCTGGAGTCTGATTTGGGGTCCAGTGTTGTACCCCAAGGGACAGGGCAGAATCAGGCCAGCATCCCCTTACCCAGGTGGGCCTGGACAGTTCAGCCTGGGTCCCCAGAGAGCCCAGAACACTGTGAGGATGAGAGCAAGCTCTTTGTACCCACCTTTGCCCCAGTCCCCAGCGTACACACACACACACACACACACACACACACACACACACGCATGCACACACACTCTCCATCTTTGTTTCTCTCTTCCGCCCAGTCCCGGTGCCTGCCCCGCTCTAGGGGCATCATCATCCCCACCGGACTCCCCAATCCTCACGGCTGGTTGCCAGCAGGGCGCCCCTCGCTGCCCTCCACACCCCGCCCCGCCTCTGGTGTTCCTCTCCTGCAGGCCGGCAGCATGGGGATCACAGAGGCTCCTTCAGGGCGAGCCGTCTCCCCAGAGTCACCTGAACTGGCAGGAAGCACACAAGCACACACACACACGCATGCATGCACGCACACACACGCACACACATACACACACATGCACGCACACTCACACATATGCACGCACATGTTTATTTTGTGCTTCTGCCCACCTGCCAACCCCAAGTCGCCTGACTCTCAGCTGCGGGAGCTCGTGAGGCTGACATCTGGGGCTGAGAGGGGAAGGGACTGGGGGGAGGCCTAGGGGTGTCCTGGAGATTCTGTCACCCGAGACCCTCCTGGAGTTAGAATCCCATCACGGCTCAGAACTCCAAAGGCCTTGGGCGTGCCTGAGGTGAGTGACGGATACCAAGGGTCAGTCTAGTTTCCACCACCCCAATGCGTTTCCCACCACCCCCATGGCACTTGTGTCCTTTGTCTGTCCCTTGAATCGGTGAGCCCTCGCTGACTTACGTGTGGATGAGAACCGAAATTCGCTTCCATGCCGGGAAGAAATCCAGCACGCCCGAACGACCCAAATCACCAAGGTTTCTCTTTTGCTATTTTTGGGGGTCACACCCACGGTGCCCAGGGCCTACTCCTGATGGGGTTCCGGGAGCCACATGGGGTGCCCAGGATTAAACCCAGCTCAGGCTCCCTGAGATCCACTTCTCTCAGCAGGGTGGCAAGAGTCCTGTCTCTTCCCTTGTGCTGCCTTCACCTTCCAAACCAGACCAGGCCAGACGGAGAATAGATTTGGTGATGGGAATAGATT